AATAAAGATGAAGCCAGGTGTGTTTCTGGGCACCTGTAATCCCAGCACTCTCCCAGTGAGGCAGGAAGATCACCTCTACTTCAAAGCCAGCTTGGGCTACAAAGCAAGATTCTGTTTAAAAAAAAAATCCAAAAATTTGCATCTCTCAAATGACCAGTGATGTTGAACATTTTTTTTCATGTATTTATTTGCTGTTTTTACTTCATTTGAGAAGTGTGTATTCATCTCAGATCCTTATTTTTGGATTGGGTTTTTCAATTTGAGTGGGTTGGTAAAGACCAAAAAGAATAATAAATATTTTGAAATAGGAAGAAGTTGTTCAAAATTATACAGAATGAGAGATACTTTGTCAAAACTTAAAATGTTTTATGTGAAAAATGTATAGTATTTTTAAGAAATTAGCTGAGAGATTAGCAAATGAAAATATGTTCTTTGAAGGTCACAATACACAGCATATTTACCATGGTTATTCTCTAATATTTTTTGTTATGAACAATTATGTTTTCATAGAATGTTTTTTATTTTTTCTCTATTAATATCTACTTGTAATACTTTAGAATAAAAATTTAAAAAATAGAGATGAGTATAGGTTTGTGTTTGTATTTTTCTCTAATAATACTTTCTTAATTTTAAAATTTGTAGCCCCAAGAAGTGCTATTTTGAAGAGAAGTCATAGCTAGGTATTGTGCCTGGTACCAGACAGAGTGCTGGTGATGTTTTTCTGATCACTTGTATGACTGCCTACTCCCTTCTTTGTGCAACTACTGTAACACAAAAATCTTAGGAAAGTACTGCATCAGGAAAGGTCTGCACAGGTTTTTTGAGTGTATGATTCCCTGTATTTTTTGTGATATGAGACTCAAAAGTTTGTGCCCATATATGTGCAGACTCGTACAAAAAGTGTCCCCTTACACTCCTTCCCACTGTGCAGGCTGCAGCTAATCTGCTAAGCCAGTGCAGGCAGAGTCTGCACTTCACTTGCCAGGTGCTCCTGTGTGTGGTCTTCATGGTTTGACATGGGGTGGTCTTTGCTTTGAAGTGAAGGACAATTCCTTGACAGTCACTGGAAGGGTGATGGAAGGTGGATGACACTTAACAGATATGCCTGTGAGGACATCTTGCTCATGGCACCGTAGTTCTGGCTGTTCCTTGCTGGTATGATAACTCAGCATCATTAGTTGTTGATGGATTCAAACACTGGAGAGCAAGGCACATGTTCAGAGAGCTGATCTGAAAATCTGGTGTTTATAAAATCATACCTTTGCTTTATTACTGTTTCAAAAAACAATACTTTCTCTGGTGTGAAAAACTAAAAGTGTAAATAAGATCCAAAAGGTATAATTGACAATGTGAAAAAGGAAGAACAGGGTTAAAGGTGTAGGAGAAGTGGGAAGGGTAGGGGAAAGGAATTAAAGAAAAAAGAAAAAAAATATGAGAAAAGGAGAAAATGAAAAAAAGTTTTTGTAAATGGGAAAGTGAGGAGGGGGTGAAGGGAGGGCAGGGGTATGGGGAAAAAATGAGAAGCAAGACCTGTCATGTAAAGGTACAAGATCCTAATGATGAATGTAACTGTACTATATACCTAAAAAGTACCAGTAAAATCAATGAGAAAAAAACACACAATATAATAATTTCTTATTATTTTATACATATAATATGAGTTTGGCCAATAACTGTACTCCTTGGCAGATATTCGAATCCCAGGAGAACTAGGCTTTTAAATTATTTTCAAATACTTTGAAATTCCAATGGTTTTGGTAAACACCCCTCAGCAAGCCATTTAAGATAAAAATCTATGAAGGCAAACAGTGTAGAAGAAAAAATATATTACTAAAAATCCAGAAGAAAAAAGAGAAGGCACACTCCACAGCAGAAATTTAATGCCCAGTTTTGTTCTGCAATAGCCTAAACATAGATTCCAAAATGTCACAGAGGATAAGCTGACACCAGAGCACAGTTCTGAAGCCTGGATGTCCTTACAATCAGCCCATTGCTAATTTCTCAGTTACCCCTCTACTGGCCAGGTACGAGCGCGCACACACACACACACACACACACACACACACACACACACACAAAATGACCTAACTGGAAAATAAGCCTTAGCATGAATTTTTTAGAATACTTGCAATATAAGCCCTAACCCCAAATTAAGCCTCAGTTAACATGGTCAACTAGACCCACATATTTTAATGTATCTGTTACAACACATAACAGATATATTGAATTATAAAATAATACTATTAATGTATAATTCAATATAAACAAATATCATTGATATTAATATTTGAAATAAATTATAATTATTTGTATACACAAGCAGGCATGTTTAGAAGAGTGAGGTAAACAACTGTATGAACAGACGAACTCAAGATTTATTGCCAAATGACTAGAGTACAGACACAAAGATGAGAAACACATGCACTTGATAACAAATACATGTGGTTGTGTCTGGTATGAATCTTCATAATTCCATAAATTGCATGTTGTAATGGATGTAATTAATGCACTTGTATGAAATAAAGAAATGTTGTCTAAATTTTGGTGTCTGTAATTTTTTGTCATTTTTGCATGGGCTTTCATTCTTAACTGTCATCATTTTTGTTGCTGTTCCTGTTTCATTAGTCTTCAATTAATCTTTGATGTGATGCAAAGCTTGTGAAGACCACCACCCTGCAGGAGGCCAGGACTTGGTAAGAACTCATGGGATAAAACCACTGACAGCTGTGCTGCCAGTGAAGTATGATCAGGTTGCATGGACAAGAAGTGTTCATTTAAGGAGAGCTCTATTACTGGGCAGAGTGAGAGACTGGAGCCAGTGGTTCTACAGGAAATGGAGGTACAAGAAACTCAAGTCAGAATTCAGGGTGTGAAGACTTATGATGATGTTCCAGAAGAAGATGACATGACTGTATTTGGATAAATGTAAATTGTTGGGCATGACTAAATGTAGATGTTGCATATGAAAATATAAAACATCCTCTATAAAGAAGCAAGCCCTAATTGTGTCTTTTGAGGCAAAAATTAATATATAGCCTGGTCTTATTTTGGGGGACATATGGTAATAAAGTAAATATATATTATGATTAATTCTATTAGAAAATAGTGAAAATAGGGGAGAATCTGAGGAACTGACATTTTAGTTAAGATTGTCAACCATTCTTAGTAGTATCTGATACTAATGACCACTTTGTCCTTGAAAATGTCTTTTTCTTTCAAAGCTTGTTTTTCTCCTCTTGGTTTTTAATCTTTGGTATTGCTTTAGGCTTTCTTTTCTCTCTCTAAAATCTCAGGGTGACTTCATATACTTCCCTGTCTGCAGACATTGAATATATTCATCTCCATCTTGAAACATGAGCCCCTGTATTTACGTTGGTGCTTATTTTCCCCTTAAATACAGTTTCTCCCAAACTGAGCTCATTGCCAATCCTGACTCAACATCTCTCTAATCTAGTCATATCTCTTAGTAAATAGCTTTTCTATTCTCTAGGATTCTAGATCTGAAACCTGGGAGTAAACTTTGTTCCATATTCAATTGATTGTCAACTATGACTGATTCCATCTATGACCTGTCTGATCATTTTTCTCCTTATCTATAACTACACTGTAGCTCCTTACCAAGACTACCTTAGCTTACTGCAATAACCTCATAGATCACTCTTCTTATGTCCTGATAGAAACACATAGCAGATAAATTGAACATACAGGTTTAATTATTAGACTATTCAAAGGTTTAAACACTGTATACAAAAATACTAGGAAAATACAATAGGTAGTATACCTTAATCTAAGCTGTAACAAAACACTATACATTGAGTGATTTCTAAATAACAGAAATTTATTTATCTGGCCCCCTCTTCTGGGTTGCAGACTGCCAATTTCTCCCAGTCACCTCAATATGGCAGAAGTGGTAGAGAGGAAATGACTCTGAGGCTTCTTTTATGAGGGTACTAATCCAATCATAAGGGCTCCACTCTGTTGATCTGACCACCTCCTAAGATTCCACCTCAATATCATCACCTTGGTGGTGAGGATTTCAATATATGAATTTTGGGGGACCACAAACATTCAATCTGTAGCACTATGTCTTGGAGATTTTATGATCCCAGAAGGAACAAGAGATGGAAGGAAATGCCAGATATGTTCAGAGAGAGTTATATGCAGGAGATGCTTCACAGGAGCTGTGATCTATGGCTGGAGGGAATCAGCTCTCTACAAATCCATGGGAGCCAGTGAGTAGATATCTGAATTTTGCTCCCCTTCTTTCCTTCTGTTGGATCTGAAATGTCCTCAAAAGTTTGTATGCTGAAGGTCTGATCACCATCCTGTGTTACTATTCAGAGGTCATGGAAACAAGGAGGTGGGGTTAGGTGAAAGGAATTTAGGTCATGGGTAGTCCATTAAAAGCAATATAGGGATCCAAGTCCTCCTGTATCTATTTGCTTTGCTGCTATGACTTGAAGTTTCCTCCTCCCACTGAGATCTCCGTCTTGCTGTGCTAAGCTTCCACCAGCCCCAAAGCATCAATACCAAGAGATTATTGACTGAAATCTCTGAAACCATGAACCAAAATAATTCATTTATCCTTTTAATTTGTTTATGTCAGATGTTTGGTCATAGTAATAGAAATCTAACACAGATAAATATATAGTATTAAACTCAATTTTAATGTGTCAAAAATTAGAAATCACATACATGGCTTGCATTTGCTGCTCACAATATATTTCTGCTGGCTAGAGTGGCTATAGATTTGAAGGCTAATTTAATATCCCTGAAAATTCTGCCCCTGAAAGTTTGATTTAATACCTTTAGAGGTAGAGTATCATTTCTAGCTGTGACATGTGCACATATCTGAAGGTATATTATATTTTGTTTTTGTTGCTGAGCTATGCAAGGACCATGAAGATGTAGCCTCATTGACTCAGCATCCCCAGTGGAGCATATGTGGCCCGCTGTTAGCAAGCAGCCAGACTCCGACAAATGTGTGTTTGCTTCCTTAGAAATACACTGTGATAAGAAACAGACTCACATAATCTCATTATTATACAATTTTTATGATTGGTTTCTTATTGAAAAAATTGAAAACAAAGTCATTCAAAGTTAAATAACTTTTATGTGCTCTTTAGATCTGAAATTCTAGGACGTTCTATGCTGCAAAATATTATTGTCAGCCACTTATTGTAGTACGTTAGGCCTTCTGTCTCCATGGGCTCAAGGTCCTTGGATTAAACCAACCAGGATGGGAAATATTCAGAAAAACATTGCATTCATACCAAACATGTATAGGCCACACTTTTTTCCTTCTTAATACTTCCTCATTATTATAAAGGAGTGCTAAACAATATGATGGATGTTTAAATAAAGTTTAAAGAATTGCTACAATAAAAGACATGCCGCCGTTAATCTTCAAAATATTCCACATTGGGGAGTGCGGACTGGTGAACCACTATGAAAATCACTATGGAGACACCTCAAGGAACTAGGGTTAGAGGCTCCATTGGACCCAGCCATCCCTCTGCTGGGTATCTTTCCGAAAGAATTGAAAGAATCATTTCACTGTGATATATGCATACCTGTGTTTATAGTGGCACGGTTTGTAATAGCTGAAACTTGGAAACAGCCCATTTGCCCATAAGTTGGAGACTAGATAAAGAAGATGTGGTTTTTCTATACAATGAAATACTACTCAGCCATAAAGAATGAGAAATTTGAGTCATTCATAGGAAAATGGATACACATTGAGGTCATACTCTTAAGTGAAACAAATAAGTCACACATGCATAAATACTGAATAGTTTCTCTGGTGTGAAAAACTATAATGGCAATAAGATCCAAATGATATAATTGACAATGTGAAATAGGAGGAAAAGGGCTAAAGGTGTAGGGAAAGTGGGAAGGGTAGGAGAAAGGAAATAAAGGAAAAGAAAAAACCACAAGAAAATAACAAAATGGAAATAAAGTATTTGTAAATAGGGTAGGGAGGAGGAGGTGAAGGAAGAGCAGGGACAAGGGGAAAAAATGAGCACCAAGGCCTGTCATGTAAATGCACAAGATCCCAATGATGAATGTAACTGTACTGTATACCTAAAATGTACTAATCAACTCAATGAGGGGAAAAAATATTCCACCTTGGTTAGAGCATACTTATGCTATTCTTGACATTTTCTTGTGGAAGTTCTCTTTTGTAAATGTCCTTTTTCTTGCTGTGTTGATGTCCTGAACCACTCAAAATATTTATGGCAATTTCTGTCAAATAAAAACATTACAATGTTTTTAAATTTTATTTTTACCATATTCACTGGATTTAGCACCATGCAAATTCTGGCTCTTCCTTAAAGCCAAAATGATCATGACTGGAACATGTTTTGAATCAATTGAAGGTAGCCATGAAAGTGTATTTAAAGACAAGCATGGAAGAGGACATTCAGAAAATGGGAAGAAAGATAAGTGTTTAAACTGAAAGGAAGCATTTTGATAGGTATTAATAACAAAGTGTCATTTAATGTAATAAACTTTGAAGAATTTAAACATTCACCATATTGTTTGATCACACCTTATGTAACAATTGTTCACATAACATTTACATCATATACATCCAGATGCATGGAGGTTATAGGCAAATACTACATGGATTTACAAGGGGTGGGGTACTTGAGCATAGATGGATTTTGGTTGGTTCTGGAGGCATTTCTATGAAGACACAGAGGTATGACTGGATATAAGTAATTCAATAAGGAGAAATTTTATTGTTGTATGTTAAGTATATTACAATTTAAAAACATATAGCATTTGGGACTTTAAAAGAAGATCATCTAATCTTAGAATTTTAATTTATTCAACCTTAAAAATTAATGCAACCTATTATTAAACTCATGCATTTAAGCTTTTTATCTTTGACTTTGGATTTTAAAACACATTTAGCAAATTGTATTATCCCGTGTATATGACCTTGTGGTTTTCTTTTGAATCAATAATTATTTACATTAATCTTTTAATAATTAATACATCTGTATGTATTTTACATTTTTGGACATATTTTTAACTTTTTCGGTATTATACAAAATATTATGATCACAACCCATTGGCAACAAAAAGTTACATGGATAAACTTAGAAGAAAAAGCAGGAAGCCTGGAAGACAGTAACCAATCCAACTTAGTTTATATTTCAGCAAAATTATAAAACTATCCTATCAGTTTGATAACTTCACAGCCTGACTCATCCAAAACAGACTTAATGTTGTAGCTTAGGTTTGCAAATATGAGATTATTGTCTTTGAATAACATCTGTTGTCATATCCATCATAACCATGTTTTAGAGAGATTCAATATACAGCAAAAACCTAGGAAAATGGAAAAATATGTTCTTTGCCAAGTCTTGAATAATTGTTTTATCTCATAATGGCGTGAAGTCCATGCATTATGTAGAAATCACATTTCAGATTTTGAATATTTTCTTTTCCTAGCCTGGTAATGTGTGACACAGTCTTCTGTTACTGTGCTAGGCAGCCTTATGCAGCTGCAGCTCACACTCAGCCACACAGCACATGATTACCACATGCTCAAAGGCCATGTAGTGGATGATTTTGTCTGACTATAGACTAATGTAAACATTCTGAGCACTTTAAAGGTAGAATAGTTTACCCTGTGTTTCTTGCAGGTCAGGTGGATTAAATGAATTTTTTTTTTTTTTTTTTTGGTACTGAGGATTGAACTCAGGTCCTTGCGCTTGCAAGACAGGCCACTGAACTGCTGAGCTAAATCCCCTACCCGATTAAATGAATTTTTAACTAAAGACATTTTCAATTTATGATCAGTTTTATAGAGACATAACCGCATGGTAAGTGGAGCATCAGCCACACTAGCTACTTGACTATGGGCAAGTTACAAGCATTAAGACCTTCCTTCTAACATTTCAGAGGTATGTGCCAAAATTTAGTAGTTATGTCTGAGTAGTAGTGTTTAAAAAATTTCCTTGTGTATATCTTTATTTTTAATTTTTTCATATTTAGCATGGGTTATCTATGTAATAATCAAATGGTTACATTATAGTTATGCTAAAATAGAAGTTATTTGAAAATGTGTATTTTTAGTACTGTGCAAGTTCAGAGGAAAAGACATTTGTCCTGTGCACTGGGAAATGACCCAGTAGCTGTTGTATGTGTGTATCCACCTATATGCATGTACTATGTACATATAGATGTGTACACATGTATAGACTACAATGACCAGTGATGTTGAACAATTTTTTCATATATTCATTTGCCATATCTACTTCTTCATTTGAAAAGTGTCTGTTCATTTCAGATGCCCATTTTTGGATTGGGGCTTTAAATTTGGGGGTGTCTGATTTTATTCTATGTTTTGTATGTTCTAGATATTAGTTCTTTATCTGAGGGACTATTGGCAAAAATTTTTCCACTCTGTGGGTTGTCTCTTCACTCTGTTGGTGATTTCTTTTGTGGTGCAAAAAAGTTTTAATATGATGAGATCCCAGTTGTTGATTCTTTGCATTGATTCTTACTTCCCATATGGTCTGGATTTTGTTCATGAAGCTGTTGCTGAACCCTATGTCCTCAAGAGTTCAACCCATTCTCTCTTCCAGCAGATTCAGTGTTTCTGTTTTAAAATTTAGATCTTTGATCCATTTTGATTTTAGTTCAGTGCGTGGTGAGAGACATGGTGTAGTTTTAGTCTTCACATATAGAAAGCCATTTTTTCTGGCACAATTTATTAAAGAGGTGATGATCTTTCACCCAACTAATGTGTTTAGCCACTTTGTCAAGGATAAGGTGGCTGAGTATGTTTGGTGTTGTTTCCACCTCTTCTAGACTGTTCCATTGATCCTCAGGTCTGCCTTTTCACCTGTATGCTGTTTTAATTATGGTACTTCTGTAATATAATTTCAAGTCAGGGATGTGATTCTCCCAGCCTTGCATTTGTTGTCTGGAATTGTTTTTGCTATTTCAGGTTTCTTCTGGTTCCAAATGAATTTTAGGAATGTTTTCTCTAGTTCTGTGATATTTGTTAATGGGAATTTGATTGGAATTGCACTAAACCTGTGTGACAGTTTTGGCAGTCTGACCATTTTCACTATATTGGTTCTTCCTACCCAAGAGCATCTTCTTCTATCTTTTGATATCCTCTTTGATTTCCTTTTTCAGAGTACTATAATTTTCAATGTAAAAGACTTTTACTTCCTTTGTTAGGTTGATTCCCAAGTTTTTGTTTGTTTGTTTGTTTTTTCTGGTGCTATTATGAAAGATGTAATTTCCCAAATTTCTCTCCCAGTGAGTTTGTTATTTGTGTACAAGAATGTTATTTATTTTTGAGTGTTGGATTTTTATCTAGCAATGTTACTGAATTTGGTTATTAAATCAAGAAATTTGTTGGTGGAGTTTTTGGAGTCTACTATGTAGAGAATCATGTCATCTGTAAATAATAACAATTTAACATCTTCCTTTTCTATCTTTATTCTTTTTATTTCCTTTTCTTCTTCAATTGCTCTGGATAATGTTTTCAGAACTATGTTAAATAGGTGATAGTGGAAATCCTTGTCTTGTTCTTGATTTTAGTGTGAAAGCTTTTAATTTTTGACCATTTAGTATGATGTTGGTTGTTGGTTTGTCATAGATGGCTTTTATCAGATTCAGATAGAGACTATGTATTGCAATTTTCTGTGGGATTTTAAAAATAATGTATAGGTTTTGGACTTTGTCAAAATTTTTTTTCTGTGTCTGTTGTGATGGTCGTGGGATTTTGTCTTTGGCTTTGTGGATATGGTATATTACATTTATTGATTGGTGTATGTTGAACCATCCCTGCATCCCTGAGATGAATTCTACTTGGTCATCGTATATAATATTCTTGATGAGTCACTGCATTCTGTTTGCCAGTATCTTATTGAGGATTTTTTGCATTTTTGCTCCTTAGGTGATGGGGACCATCCTGAGTGAGCTACAAATTCATAAACTGGCCTTTCATAGTAACAGTCTTGAGTCTGCCTATTAG